TTGCTTTCACTCCTTAGGTGCTTCAAATCTGCTGAAGAGTCTATAGGAAGAGATAAGCGAGAGCGACATGTAGAGAATGGACACAACGAATGTGAATAAAACTGAGACTAGTGCCTTGTGACAGAAGACACCGTAATAATCACAAGCAGAGCTCCAAGTGATGGATTTGTTTCCTTTGTAAGCTAAGTAAACCGTCTCTGCAGATACAACCCCAGCCGCTAGAACCGCATATGTGACCACCTGGTCAAGCAAGAACAATGTCCAGACTCGGAGCTTGCTTATTGGACACGGAATGGCTAATTCAAAGAGAGCAGAAAGAAGAGAATAGGTAGCACAAACTCCATTAGCATTCACCAAATACCTACAAGAAGAGAAAAACAAAAGCAAAGGTTATTTGATTGATTACTCTCTAGCTAGTGACTCAAGAGATTAAGAGAGAGAGAAGAAGAAGAAGGTGCACTTGAAAGCTCCAAGATTTGAGTAAGAAAGAGAGCCAAAGTCGTTGGATATGGAGTTCTTCATCATGATCACGAGACCCGCAATACTTAAAGCCATTGATGTGGTTCGCAGTACTGTCTCCACCGTTCTCTCCGTGCGGTTAAGCTCTAAGGCTGAGCCGTCAATGGAGTTATGATCAGTCTTGTCCATTTTGTTTTGTTTTTGTTTTTGTTTATAATGAAAGAGAGATCGTTGCCTGCTCTTATAATGTTAAGTTTTTAAAGTCATAAATCATAATAGACAAAACAGCCGCTCAAGCATTCAATACAGTCATGTGATTATGAAGTCATCAGTCTCAATATATATTAGGCAACTGTCTTGTTTTGTTTTGTCTAAATTATCATTTTTTCTCAATTTGATATTACGTACCAGAAATTACTTTTTTTTTTTTAAGGGGTTTTTTTGAAAAATACACCGATTAAGTTTGCGAATTTGAAAAATACATTTTTTTTTTAAATACCTCTTTTCATAGTTGAAAAGACTTTTTAATCTCCATTTGATTTTAATACTAATTAATTCGTTTATATAATTATTATTAATATTAATTTTCGTTTTATTTAAGATAAAGTTGAATTATTGATTAAAAATTAGTTAATTCGTATATAAAATTATCACTAATATTTTAATTTTTTATTTTGAGATAAAACTGTATGTTGATTTAAAATTTAAAATTTACTATTAAATATAAAAAAGATAAATAATTTGTTATACATGATATTTATCTTCAATATTTAATATATTATATCTTCGTGTACTTGCATGATTTACGTGTACAATGTTTTTTGTTTCAGTTGTGAAGGTTATAAAATGATGTATAATATGCATGCTCTATTTTCTTTCTTTTTTTTTTGTTGATTCATCGATTTTGTAGATTACTCTTAAAGATCAGGCATACAAAGTCTCAAAAAAAAAAAGATTTGGCATACAAAAATAAACAGTTAGAATTGAAGGATAGAGACTTGATTTTTTCGTGTTGAATAGCTAATGTAATCGTGCTCTGTTATTTAACAACATAGTGAAGCACTTCCTTGCTAAGTTATCTTAAAAATGAGTGTAGTTTTTTTGTTTCTAATAAATAAAAAAACAAGAATAGATGTTATAGTATCGTCTGAAATGTGGCTAATTTATTTTAGCATAACTATATTGTTTTTGGGATTGATGTGATATTTGCATGATTTACGTGTATAATAGAGTAAAATGTACAATTTTTTTTGAAAAAGATATGATCACCCTAAAATATAGGCTATATATATTAATTTCTCACACCAAAT